GCACTCGTCACACCTTGCCACCAAGGCCGCCCCCTTCGACACTGGTGAATTGCGTGCTTGTGAATGTGCGCAGCTGCCTAATCAAAGGTGTGTGTTGGTGCCCGTTTGCTGAGCCTGCTCTGACTTGTTCTCCCATGAGTCCCGTGTGATCGCACCACCAATCAGAATCACGAGATTGACCCGCAACGGAAGACCGCAACCCATACCACCAAACCAACCTTCCAGTCACTGGTGTCTGATGTATGGACATTGATACCGTAGTGATCAGTGGCGGGCTTCGCACATGTGCACCACGACCGTGTACAACTTTGCCCACTTTTGTGTTTCGTATGGGGAACCTCAACACGAGTAGTAAAAGCAAGATTCGGGATAAAATGTACACACTGCGAAACCTAGAATATCGTACCCAGTGAAACAAGAGGTGGCCATCCTGCACCACATTGAGTCGAAGAATATGGCAAACGAGAGATCCAGTTGAGTCTCTCGTGAAAATCAAATTGATTTGCGAGTGTATTTCTGGAATAAAAGTCCAATATGGGTTCAAGTACAACATAAGGTTGACGGGAACTCAGGGACTGAGCGCCTACCTGATGAGCCCCAAGAAGGGCAAAGTCGGTCGTGGGCTGTCGAAGAGTTTTCAGTAAACTTGTGAGTGGTTTCCTTTGTGAACAATATACTGCGATATCTCGAAAATCGTGCCAACTGGAACATGAGTTTTCGGAAAATAATAAACAAGGGAAACTACTCATGAGACTGCTGAAAACTCTTTGATAGCCCACGACCGGTTTCGTCCTTCTTCGGGCTCATCAGGCAGGCGCAGTCCCCGAGGTTCCGTCGAACTTATGTTCTACTTGAACCCATATTGGACAGTTTTCGAGAAATACACTCATTTGCAAATCAATTTGGTTTTCACGAAAGACTGAACTGAATCTCTGGTTTATTCTATTCTACAACTGTTGAAGAGTTTCCGTTATGAAAATATACTGCAATATCTCGAATATCGTGCCAACTGAAACATGAGGCGTCTTGTGTTCAGCCCATTCAATTGTAGAATATCATAAACAAGAGAATCAGTTGATTCTCCCATGAAAACCAAAGTGGTATGTAAATGAGTACATTTATCGAAAAGATTCTGGAGTCTTCAGAAACCCATGGGTTTATAAGTTGAGATTTTTTATTCAAAGTCAGTAAACTAGCATGAAGTGCGCATATGCTATTCTCAGAAAGCATTCGAAAGCGTTGTGAACTCGCTAGATGACTCCTGCATGGCAAGACAATAGCCATTTTTTCACGAAAATACGATGTTATCAGTCTGATGGCCGAAAACTGGGGTTCAACAACAGTTCACTATTAGAAAGGAATGGAAAAAAGAACTGTTACCTGGGATTCTGAACATCCCTTATAAAGTTCAAATTTCCACCTCAAGAACACCTCCAGTAGTTTATCACAGCCCTCAAAGATGCCTCCTTTCGGTTGATCCTTTGACGTTAAAATTAGAACTGAGGCTCTAAACGACAGAAGAAGATTCCATCGTCCTCTAAAAGTGCTACATTTACAGTGTAGACGTGAAAAGTTTGACGCGGATTCCTCGTGACTATGGAGTACATGTTGGGAATAAATTCTGTAGACAGTCTGGTCGGCTTCGAAGTGCAAAGGTACTAGTGCAAGGAACTAGAAGCTTGATTTCCGAAAGAATGCTTTACACTAGGAGTTCTCAGTCGTGTTTCGTTCAAAATACAGTACCATCTGATCAGAAAACAAAACCAAAATTTGTTCGCACTAGGGGATTGGAAATGAAACAGGCATTCGTTTTCTGTCTACCGAAATAAGGTATTCCGTATCACGTGTGCTTACGTTTACATCGAACAGAGAATGACAGTGAATATGGGCTCGAAGTCAAAATATTATATGTGATTTGGTCATATGGGTGATGAACATTATTCATCCGTTATTCTGAAAGCAGTCCACTGTCGAAAAAAGTGCACTACGATTAGCGACGCCACCTGAGCTATTTCGGTCTCTCGCTGTCAAAAAGGTCAAATCAGCATGACTGTCGTTCGATACCAGCCCCTCCGTGTAATTAACTTGTTTGCTGTGGCTTCATTCGGGATATGGAACAGGCAAGTCAACAAACTTTCTAACCCTTGCTCCTGTTAGTCGGAACCAATACTGATACTATGAGATTGGGTTGTATGTCTACAAAGCCGTACTCGAAATAAACTATAGTGCTTCTCCTGAAGAGTGCACACCCTCGGGGGCGGACGAAACAGCAATAAATTTCGTCAATCCAATGGCATCGCAAATTTAGTACAGCTGTGATATACCTCAACTTGTTTGAAAGCAAGAACTTGTTCTACACACTTTGGAGAGATGGCACTGGTTTTGAGTGACAGAAAAACGGCCCAACTTGTTTAACATCCGGCGTTTTGACATGAAAGTATTTTGGTGTATTATTTACTGGAAAGGACAGAATAGATGACAGACAAAGAGATCGAAATTACAGACTGCGTTTTGCTACTATTCGATTTTCCGTCCTGGGAAATGGTTTGGCCTTCCATTGAGTCCCCATCAGCTTGTCTGTTCTCTGGATATAGAGGTTAGCTAGGATCGTTCCAAAACACTCGGACCAGATTCAAGGCCCATGATTTTCTAAAGCTTGGTGTTTATCACTTATGCTGCAAAGTCGTGAAGATATTTACATCTTTGAGTGCAGTTTTACGCTGTTCTGACTGGGACAGCTACTTGGTAGTCGGTAATATAAAAGTTATGTTCAACTTGTTCCGAAAAACAAAACCCATGCTTGACATCTTATCAGAATACTTTGACCCTTGCTTTGGTGACTTTCTGTGCCTATAAAAGCGTGTTGTGGTGCCAACTCTTAATGAGAAGAATGATTCTCTGAAGTGTCATCCCCTATTGATCTAAAAGCAACAAAAGCATTCTTGACCTATTGATCAACTATTATTGGATGATTACCTTTTGCTTTCACAACAGTGGAGGAATCAGATCCTTCGTTATGGGTAGGCGGTGATAAATGCATATAATATAGACGTAACACACCACTCACAAAGTTGCTGAAATCTCTCTGACAGCCCACAACCGGCTTTGTCCTTCTTGGGGTTCACCAGGTAGACCCAGTCCCAGAGTTTCGTGAATCTTATGTTCTACTCGAACCCGAATTGCACGAACTTGGCGAAATACATTAATTTGCACAACAATTTGGTTTTCACGAGAGACTCACGTTGAACGTTTCTAGTATCGAACATGGGGCGCTTTGATGTATCACATTCGATTTCGTTAGAACATTACAAACGAGAGATTCGGCTGGGTTCCGGGGGAATCCCCGCAAAACCAAATCGGTTTGTATATCAATGCATTTTGCCACATGAAATACGCCTCCCAACATGGGTTGACGAGGTGGAATTGTCTTTAGAGAGAGCTTGTCTTTCCTAACTTACACAGTTTGGCGGGACACCCGCCTGAGAGGCAGCATTCCATCTCCGTTTCACCAGTTCACGCTTCTGTTTTGAACGGTGTCAGTCAATGTATCCATATGTACATGGTCTCAAGAAGCGTAGTTATCAGTCATATTCCGAGAAACAACCTCCCCTGGACTATGTGTCGGATCTGGTCAGAGTACTTAACTAAGACAGCAAGAGTCGCATCAGCTAAAGTGACAGTTTTATTTTGAAAAAGATGGGATTTTCGCTTTATAGTTAAGTTTTGGGCAAAATTCAGGGATTCATCCTCACGGCACAGCTGTCAATATCATCGAAGACGTGCCAGCAGGTGCGGGCAACATGTTACAACGGCTTTCTTGAGATAATGCCCGGGCGAATGCATTCCAAACGGGTGACCTTGATGAGTTTGGGTGTAGAAATTTAGTAGACCAAGGGATCACCACATTGAATAAAACCAAGCCAAGATTATCTGTAACACCGAACGCTGAGACTTTAGCCCACATCCAACAATTCTAACTAACGGTAAATACAGGAGCTGATATTTTCACGCTTCAGATTTTCCGACTTTTGATTGCGCGTGAGAAATCCCAACTGTTATTCAGTTGCGTGTATCCGACTTGTGCAAATATATAGAGAGACTACGGGAAGAGTGCGTGCTGATCTGGGCGCCTAGCTGCCATGCAACCCGAAGGAAGCACTAGGGCTAGGATACTGCCAGGTTGCCCAAGCCTAGACAGGGGAAGTCAAGAGGCGGAGGTGGGATTCGAACCACGGACATTCCGGTCAATAAACTCGCGCTCCTACCACTTGGGCCGTCTCGCCATGGGAGCCATCTGTAGAGTCCTTCAAGTTTGTGGAGTAAGTCGATTTCACCACGGTCTTCCACTGAAGGTCTTGTCAATAGATGTACATAAATTATCTCATTTTACAGATCAATATTAAGCCAACCTGCTAAACCATTGGGTCAAATTAACTTCCGAAAAATCGAATTCAACCGACTGCGGGCTATTTCGATTGGGGGATCGGAGTAAAACTTGGTTGATAAATGGCACTTTGTCAGTCATGTGTTTTCCAAGGTGTGGAGGAGCAAAGTCACACGATTAAGCTAAAAAATGGGTACGACTGGCCACTTGTTTAATTCGTGAGGCGTTTGAACTCGTCTAGCCATGTCGCTATTCATAGGTCCTGGATCACATGTTGAGTGGAATGCGCTTATTTATGAGAATAATAGGTAATTATCTTTTTTTCTGACGGGAGATTCCATCCTGTTCTTCTCTGTTAAGGTATTGATTTACCTGTTCACGTTAATGAATATTTAGCGTTCCACAAGGGTAAAAAGTTCGTGGATTTACCAGTTGCCAACGGCTAAGTTGAGGTTGAAAAATTCTTCACGATAACGCATAGTTTGATTCAGTGGCTGTAATCAGCTCAGAAATTCACCTCAAGTTTCGCCATCGATACAAAGCCCAGAGGTCATTTGACGAATGAACCAGAAAAGTGAACACACACGCACCCAATAATTAGCGAGATACAACTCACCTTTCTCGCACCTTTGATATGCAGCTCCGTAGTAACTGGCAAGTCCCGTGAGCACAAGCAACAATACAACGAGAATAGCCACAACTACGCAGAGCAGTTTAACTTGCCATCCCGGAAGGCGTACCCGCACACGTCTGTTACCCACAACATCCACTTGTGGTTGCCCATCTGGGACGGAGTTATTGGGAGGTTTTTGTGTCAGTTTCTCTTCCTCTGCTGACATTTTACACACGTGTGGAATGCAAACTCCAAAGGATCAATGAAATTCACGGATCAATGCTTCTTTTGGGGGAGAATTCAATAGCGTATTGTAGTAGCTGACAAGGACATTTGAAGAGGGCAAAGTATTCGTCACTCGGCTTCAGGCGCAGTTAGACTGGCGGGCAAGCACAACTGTCGTTAAATAATCCGGTTGTGTGTTCATCCATGCGCATGTTGCGTAGCATATATTCAGAAAAAAGTGTGTTTACTTTGTTCGTAAAACAGGATACCGCGCTTGCGTTGGTCACACGTGGTTTGATTGTCCAATGGGAAGAGGGTAAGTAATTGCCCTCAAGTAATTTGTCCAAATGTGGAAAACATTAATCTCTAGTTGACGATGCTCGTGAGCGCACAGTGATTCTTGGTGAACCTATGGTGCTCCGGATGAATTCGTGCATGCAACATCAATAGGCTTGGCAATAGCCCACGGCGGTGTTTAGCTGTCTCGAAACGGCCAATCACGTAAGAGCACAACGGACCAATCGCGAACTGGCAACTGGCGCTGTGATCTACAGGCAAGGATGTTGGTATGTACAAATAGCGTCGAATGACCCTAAATCCACGGTCGTGAAATTGATCACTCGAGCTGACAGACAATCAACAAGAGATTAGAATGATCCATACTGCTGTCTGATAGGTGACCACAGACAAAATGCATCACAGGGCAGTCCCAGGCTTAGTAATTCTATAGAAATGCATACGAACACAGTTCTCTTTTCTGGAAACCTGGTAGCAGCGCCTCATGACTGCCAAAATATTGTGTGCAAGACGCAACACTCCACGAAAGGGCCTGACAGCCTTTTCCGTAACTCCGCCTCTTTGAGCCACACATAATTTGGAGATACCATCCTGAGTGGAACGTGAAAGTTTGGAGTAAACATCTTCGACACTACAGCAATCTGGTGGGAAAAATAATGATCCGTATCAAACACACTCCAAAATGGAACATGATCAGCTGAAAAGATTTTTGGGCTTGAAATATTAGAAGCTGACTTTAATTTTAACAATTTTTCACATTTTATATCACTTCAGTTGATTAGAATCATATTTTGGTGCCGTACACGACAGAATTAAGAATGGTAATTCCCCCGCCCCATAAAAGAAAAGCAGCCGTGCTAAACCCAAACTTGACTTCCGAATGGAGATTTGGACTTGATTTACTTTTGAATGCTTTCCTCAATTCAAAACCAGAGGAATATGGGGCACAAATCGGCCGACTACTGGAAGTGAACCAGTCTTCTCACCGCACTTGTGCAATAACACCAGGTCTAAATCCAATGTTAGTTTGCTCCCATTCACCAGACCAGACCCAGGTGATTGTCACATAGCTCTACACATTGGGTAACTCCACTTGAGTGTGCTTTGTGAAACTCCGAATTGGCCTGAGGAAGAATGAAAGATCTATCATATTTTGTTTATCTTAGGATTCATGAGTCACCTTTACAATGAAAGATGGTCAAGCGGTTGACTTGAACCGCAAACAAGTGACTGAGACTTGGTTGCAAGCGGAAATATCGGACAAGGAAATTGAAATTACAAACATGAGTGTTATACGACACGATCGAGCCTCCCATGGCGGTGGAGTTGCACTATATTATGACAGTAGTCTTCAATGTGCTGAAATACCTGACGCTAATCTCATCCTTGAAGATACCCTCTGGTGTATGCTGAAGTCAAAGAAGATAGATGCGTGCATTATTGGTGTCATTTACCGCTCTCCAACCGCAATGGACACTCACACATTCAGTATATGTGACCGAATCCGTCGCGTATGCTCTTACTACTCCATTCCCATTCTCATTATGGGTGATTTCAGTTTTCCCCAGCTTTTCGTCGCTTCATACTCGCTCAACTCAGTTGAAGCACACTTTCAGGAGCTGTTAGATTTGGTACCTTTATTCAACCATGTTAACGAATGTACGAGGTTTCGTGGAACAGATCAACCTTCGTTACTTGACCTTATACTAACTAGTGAGCCATTTATGGTTGAACAAATCATATATAGACCACCACTGGGAAAGAGCGACCATCTCGTGCTCTTGTTCGATCTGTATACATACACACACACCAATATCCTTTGGTCATTGTAAAGCAAAATGCTTTTTAGACCAATATAACCTTGATTTACCTTGATTTACCTTGAATTCAGTTCCAAGCTCCAGAAGTCTATTTCCGAGTATGGGATCGGATTTTGTTGGTTTTACGCACCTCATGAACCCATGACGCGTTCTCATGGCATCTGACTTCCCAGTTGCAGGTGGCGAGTCTCTTTTGTTTATATTGGCTACTTCCGAACAGTGATACTCACTTGACCTTGAGGGTCAGTCCAGTCGACAGCGACGGCCATGTGACTAGCGTAATACTGTTTAGCTATCTGTAGTGCGACAGAAGTCGAATAGATCGACACGAAGCGAAGATGCTGATAAAGCAAACAATAGCATACATAGTGCACAATGAGTGAGTGCGAACGAATGCGGCAAAGTGATATGTGCGAAAAACAGTTTGCCTGTAAGAGAAACCAAGATCCTTAGTGTGTCAGATATGTCACGACTCTGAACGACGACTTGGGGGAATCACCCAGGCAATCACACAAGTGGCCGCAAAAACCGCCAAATTTCTTTCGGATTAAAAGTCCTCTATAAAAAGAGTTATAGATTAGCGAAATACACTCATCCGCAAATTAATTTGGTTTTGCGAGAGACCCACCCAGAACTCAGACCTGGAAACATCACAAACGAGGGATTCAGCTGGGTTTCAGGTGAGTCTCTCGAAAAACCAAATTAGTTTGCAAATGAGTGTATTTTCGCTACTTGCGTGCAATTTGGTTTCAAGTAGAAAATAAGGTCGACGGAAACTCGGGGACTGCGCACCTACCTGATGAGCCCCAAGAAGGGCAAAACCGGTCGTGGGTTGCCGACGAATTTTCAGCAACCTTATCAGTAGGACAGTTGTAGATATCTAAGGAAAGTGCTTGTGAATATCAAATAACTAATTTGTGGATGTCGTAACCGGTCCTGTTGCTCATCTTTTCCGTAATGTAACCGAAAACTCCAAGTGAAGATTAATGCGGCTAACATATCACAATGCCGGATGCAAAAATCGATTATTGCCGTGGACGCAATACACTACTGACAAGGCTAATGAAACCCCTTCAACAGCCCGCGACCGGTTTCTCCCTTCTTGGGTGGACGCAGTGCCCGAGTTCCCATCAATCTTACGTTTTATATGAACCTTAATTGGGCAAATTTTGACAAATACACTCATTTGCATATCGATTTGGTTTTGACGGGGGACTCACCTGGAACCCAGCTGAAACTCCCGTTTATGATGAGACAGCCTTGTGCTGCATACTGCTTAGTAACATGATAAACGAGAGATCCCGCTGGGATCCAGGTGACTCCCCACCCCCCATCAAAACTGAATTGACTGGGGAATAAGCGTATTTTCCAATTATCGTCGGTTCAATGGTGGTCAAACTATCCATTCAAATCTATATCAGTTGGCAGCGAACATGACAGCAACTGAGCTACGTGAAGTATGCTTTCTTGGGCGAACTCATAATGGCACAACTCTTTCGAGGGATTATAGCCTGTGATGAATGAAAATATCAGTATTTGAGAATTTGTTTGGGTTGTCTTTTTATTCTGAAGGAAATGAAAGCGAGGTTTCTTGATTGACAATTTCTGAACCACACGACTGCCAATTAATTTGTGCGACCGGGGAATTCCACACTGTTCACGGTCACTATAAAGCACTCTCAGTTGAAGAATATCACAAACGAGAGCGCTCCATCCGGGATTTAGTCGAGTTACCTCTTTAAACTATAGTTCGTGGTAACCTCATTTATTATTGCCGATTTTGGTGTGACTTCCCCCTAGCAAGAGCAGATAAACTGTCGGTAAGATGAAAGATCCCGAGTGCAGTTCTACCTGGAAGAGTTTGCATAAATGGTGCGGCAATATAAAACGAAATTCCCCGCTTTTGAGTGGATACAGCTCACAGTTTTGCTATCGTTTTCAAGTCATTTATCAGGGTTAGAGAGAACCAATGCGGGAACATGCTTAAAGACGCAAAATACAGCGGTTATCGCGGTTTGATAGTTGCGTCTGAGTCTCAACTGAGAGGTAATCATGGTGGTAGGGGCACGGTCAATACAGAATGGTCAAAGAGCTGGGAAAACCGCAGTGTTTGGATGCCTTGTTTCCAATTTACTACGAATTTACTGACCGGAAGGTCCGTGGTTCGAACCCGACCTCTGCCTCCCGACTTCCCCTGTCTAGGCTTGGGCAACTCGGCAGTATCCCAGCCCTCGTTTTTCCTTCGGATGGGATGGCAGTTAGGCACCGAACGGGTGATACAGCTGAACGATTTTCTTTATCGCATTGACCCATTGACAATAACTGCTCCGCAAAGAAGCTTTGCCCCTATCGGAAATCTCTTTTAGCCACTAGCTGAGCCATGGCAACGAATCTATTCTAACGATTCTTCGTTGTTTTCTTTTCAAACGTGGTAACCACTATGTGACATTAAAGCCATGGCATTTCGTTTGACAAAAGTCGCCGAAATCCAGCCTCTTCGTCACGCTTTAAGCTTGTTCACCTTTGAACAAGACAGAAACCACAAAGTAAACTGCTCACAAGGTTGCTGGAAACTCTTCGACAGCCCACGACCGGTTTTGCCCTTCCGCTTGGGGCTCATCAGGTAGGCGCGCAGTCTCCCGAGTTTCCGTCAACTTTATGTTCTACTTGAGCTCAAATTGAACTGTTTTCGACAAATAAATTCATTTGCAACTCAATTGCAAACAAATTAACGGTTTTGGGTCGCAATGACAGATGGACAGTCGATTGGAAGTAAATGTGATAGCCTCTAATAATCATTCAGGTTGGCAAAGTTGTGGAATATAGGTAGCTCGGGTGCGCTGATTGGTTGTTGGTTTGTTCGCCCAACTTGACAGTTGGATTGCAAACGTTTCACCACCAATCGAGATGACATTGTCAGTGCGGGGTTGACGGCGATGTTACCTCGATGGTGATGAAACGTTTGCAATCCAGCTGCAAATTTGGTGAAAAACCAACAACCAATCACTCGGATCACAAAAGATTCAGCAAAATAATTTTTTTCTGGAAAAAAGACGTATCTAAGGATGGACTAAACCTAACAAACTGATTTAATAACAGGTAGAATCTTTCTTCTGTATTTTGAAAAACTCCATTCTCAAGACGAGTTCTTCAGTAAGAAAGCCTAAACCATGTATCGCTCTTCTCTGGTTGCTACAATAACCCTACGATTATGCTCGTGGACGTGCAGTCACTGAAAACGCCACTTACAATCCAGAAGGAGGTACTGGAAGTTGTAGAGCATTTTGCGTATCTTGGAAGTTGTATTAGT